GAAGAAGATGGTCATTGAGATTCAAGGCCATTCTGATTGTAAGTTATCCTTCAACGACATGGGCCCATAGACGGTCGACTGACTGAAACAGACCAACAGGCAATCCGAACCCTTCTTTCGATGGCTGAAAAGTATGGTTCCCACGGACGAAACTTGTCCCAGCAGGGTGCTGGTTCAGTCCAAGGCTTCCGAAGCGGCGATAAAATCCAGCGAATGGAGGCCAATCTTCGGGTACGTCAGTCAGTCTTGTCGAATAAGCAGTCACTAACCCCCTCTGACCAGACATTGATTGAACGTTTTGCCAACCACACGTCCCTGGACAATCTATTCGACTCACTGGACAACATCTACCGAGATGCAGACAGGGACCCTGAGCTGAAAGGATGGTTCAGAAACATGGACACCTTCATCCGGTGAGTATATGAGTGCAAAAGGAACCTAGGCGGTGTGCTAATCATTTCACAGGAAAACCCTAACCGAGCAAGGCTATATTATGGATGATGATTGCAATCGCCAGTGGGACCAACTCACTGACCATGGCCGTTACCTCCTGCGTGAGCGCTACAGGGACCATACCGATCGCATTCTTGATGAGCTTAAGTTCCTTGGCGATCAGTTCAACCAGGACCCTCAAAACAAGGCGTTTGGAGATGCGATGCAGAAGCTCTTCGATGACCTCGGACGCGACAACAGCGGCAACATGGCCTTCAAGAAGCATCTCGTCAAGGACATTAGGGATGTTATCCTACCTGAAGTTCTCGAAAATGTTCGCTATGTCCCCGTTCCTCGTATCGAAGTGTCTGATCCCGCGGCCGATGTCGTAAGTATACCTGAGTTGTCTTATGTTGAGTTCGTGGCTAACGCTCTGAAAGGTTGTGGAAAACCTCGTCATTGAGAGCGATAACTTGATGCCGAACGTCGTGGAATTTGGCAGCGACAACTACTTCCGGTGGGGACGCAAGAAGATCAGCAGCAAGAGGGACAACAAGGTTGGTTGACTCCCTGTCGAGATTGTTCAGGGAAATAATACTGATGATGTGCTCAAAGATTATGATTTCGGTGTCCGGAATTCAAGCCGATCTTCGAGGTAAGTTTGTTATCCTTAGTTGTCGTCGTTCGATCTGAAACTCTTACTGACACTACTTCCTCCAGATGTGAGCTACTATGTCAACAGAAAGCAGGGTTTCCCTGCTATCACGGACACGGGTATCATGGACATCTTCTTGGGTGGCGAAGGCTTTGGATTCAAGATTGCAGCCTCCACTGCTCAGAAGGAAGACCGGCAGAACTTCATCAAATTGGACAAGGTGACTGTTAAGATTGACTCCCTCAACGTCAAGTTGAAGAAGTCAAAGCACAAGACTCTATTCACGGTCTTCAAGCCATTGTTGTTCCGGGTCGTCCGTCCAACCCTGGAAAAGGTACTCGAGCAGCAGATTCGGGACGCTTTCGCCAAGGGAGATGCCTTTGCCTACGAAATCCACAGTGAGGCAAAGAAGGCACAGGAGGCTAGTAGCCAGGATCCCGCAAACGCGCCCAACATCTACTCCCGCTATCTTGATGCTTTCCGTGCCAGAAATGAGGACAAGAAGCGGAAGGCGCAAGAGATTGCCAAACGAGACACTAAGGTGCAGACAGCTACAACTCTGCATGATTCCCTCTTCCCCGAGATCAAGCTTCCTGGCGGCATCAGTACCAAGGCCACTGAGTACAAGGAACTTGCGATGAAGGGTGAACGCTGGGAATCTCCCATCTTCAGCATTGGCAGCGCCTCGGAATCTTCTGATATTCCTAAGGCGGGTGACATTTCTCGCAAACGGGAATCACCTGCCGAAAAGGGTGGTGTTAGTGGAGTGACCAATGGAGGCGCCACAAACGGCAGAGTCACGAATGTTAACCAGACCAATGGAGGTGTCACCAATGGGACTACCGCTATCACCCAGAATGAGAAAGTGACCAACGGAGGTGCGCAGCCTATGGATGGTCGAGTGACCAATGGCAAGCACGCTATTTCCGGGACCAATGGACATACTAATGGCCATACCAATGGACACTCCAAGACATATGACCATGCGGCCGCGTCCCAGAAATTCTCCGATGAAGTCAACCAAGCGTTCAGTGACGGAAACGTTGGCGGTGGTACTCGCACCACGGTTCCAGGCGTCGAAACGGCCTTCAACCCTCAAACTGCTTAGGTCAATTGTGTGGAGGGACTGTAGGGTTCAACATGCTCATACACGCAGCCAGATATCTCTTTTGTCATTGTTTTATTCTGCCTGTACTGTTTTTGATACCTTGTGACGTTGTCAACTTGTCTTTTTCATTTGTTACACGAACTTAATGCTTTACTTATCAGCACAAGTGTGTTAGTAGTTAATGATTAATTCATTGTGATATCCTGCGATATGTGTGAACATGATTTACAACAGCTGTGATAGATAATAGCTGTATAATGTACAAGTAATAAGTATGAGCCTTGCCCATTACAATGACACAAGCAAGCATGAAGCATTATCTTCAGGAAAACCGAATCATTACCCCTTGTATTTAAAACTTGCTTCTAAACTCTATATACTTTCAACCCATTTTTAATAACTTGACCCATTCATTCATAACATCCATTACATTTGCTCAAAGTACTTTTCCCAACCAAGCTCGCGCAGCTTAGTACCCTTCAGCTCCATGTTCTCAGCGCGAGCGCTCTCCGCATACGCCTCAACCTTGCGCTGGATAGCCGGGTCGAAAGCACCGAGAATACGGGCGGCCAGGAGGGCAGCATTGATGCTGTTGTTGATGCCGACGGTGGCGACGGGGACACCTGTTAGATGAAAACATGTTGTCAGCTTGGATGTAATGTAACCTGGTTTTTATGATGTGCAGGAGAGAATGTGTGTAACTGTCATAGTACGTGCATGTATGCATGCATACATGCAGCAATATTACATGTGAAAGATAGCGGATGGGGAAGGGGAGAGGAAAGGGAAAGGAAGGTAAAGACTCACCTCTAGGCATCTGCACAATGCTGTACAAACTATCGACTCCGTCCAAAGAGCTACCCTTAACCGGGACACCGATCACCGGCAGCGCGGTATGAGCGGCCGACATACCGGGAAGGTGAGCGGCACCGCCAGCGGCAGCAATGATGACCTTGATGCCACGGGCGGCGGCATTGGCAGAGTACTCGGCCATGTAGGTGGGGGTGCGATGAGCGGAAGTGATTTCCACGTCGGGCTCAACGCCGAAGTAGTCGCGCAGGAGCTTGAGACCGGGCACCAGGGTCTTGAGGTCACTGTCGGAGCCCATGATGACGGCGACGGAGGGGGCGGGCTTGGAGACGCCGGACTTCTGGGGCTTGGAGCGAACGTCGCTGCGCTGAGAGCGGATGTCGTCGACGACGTCGATGAGAGGCTGGATGTGGGATTCGGCTTCGTGCATGGTCGGGGCGGTGACGGTGACGTGACCCATCTTGCGGCCGGGTTTGGCGGCGCCCTTGCTGTAGAGGTGGATGCTGGCGTTGGGGATGGAGAGGGCCGCTTCGGCGGCCTTGAGGTGGGTGTCCGGGGCGGAGCCGCCGATGATGTTCAGCATGATGGAGGGTTGGCGGATTTGGAGACTCTGAGGGGGGATGGGGAGGTCAAGGATGGCGCGGATGTGGGCTTCGAATTGAGACATGGGGCAGCCCTCGATGGTGTAGTGGCCCGAGTTGTGGATACGGCTGGCGATCTCACAGAGGAGAAGGCTGTCGTCTTCCAGGAGGAACATCTCCACGCCGAAGACACCCTTGCCTTCAAAGGCGGACACGGCTTTCCGGGCCAGTTCTTGCGCTTTGCGGTTGATGGCGTCGGAGACGTTGCGGGCGGGGGCGAAGACGAGCTTGCAGATGGAGTCTTCTTGGACGGTTTCAACGGTGGGGTAGGAGAGGACTTCATCCTTGGTCTTCACGACCATGACGGCGAGTTCCTATGGTATGGGGTGTTAGATGGTGGTGGTGGGTCATTCGGTGTGGAGGTGGGGGGTGGGACATACCATCTTGAAGTAGGCCCATTTCTCGGCATACAGAGGACGGCCCTTGAGGAACTCGAGGGCTTCGGGGATATCGTGTGCACCGCGCACGTGGAAGTTTCCTGGTAAATTAGGAATTGTGTTAGTGGTGGTTGGTGGTAGATAGTAGAACAGCAATTGGGTTACGGGTGACTCACCACGTCCATCGTAGGCCATGGTCTTCGACTTCAACATCAAGGGGTAGCCAAGCTCCTCGCCAACCTTGGCCAATGCCTCGGGGGTATTCTCAGCGAGCTCGCGGTGCTCAGCCATGGGGATGCCATATTTGCGGAGGTGTTCCTTCTGGTTGTACTTGTTCTGGATGGTGCGGATGGCCTGCCAACTGGGCTCGATGCGGACCTGCGAGGCGATCTCCTCCAGGGCATAGGTATCGACGTGCTCAATCTCAGCAGTCACGACGTCGCAGGACTTGGCCAATTCGCGGACGGCTTCGCGCTCCTTGAAGGAGCCGGTGACATGGTCATCGTGGGAGCTAATCTGCTTAGCCGGGGAGTTCTCCGCATCAAGAACGTTGCACTGGATATTGAGGCGGTTGGCCGATTCGACCAGCATACGGCCCAATTGGCCTCCACCGAGGATTCCCACCTTGCGGGAGTTCCACATATTGAGATTAAGGGGGATATAAAAGAATAGGGAGGGTATTAAAAAAAAAAGGAGATGGACAGGCACCAGCACGCACCAAGCAGAGGGGGGAGATCTGGGGAAGAGAAAAGCAGCCCCTCCACGGCGGAGCAAAAAATCCGCCCGATAACCATCACGTGCACCAGTGATAAGCGGCTGGCGGGCCCAATCAGAGCCTGCGGTTGCCGGGGGAGACGCCGTCCCCGCGTGTCCAGATCGAGCCATGTCAATTCCGCCCGTCATTTGCTGCTCTTCCTCTGCACATCCCCTATTGGCCTTGTCGCATTTCACTTCGCTGGGCGCAGAAGTGCTGGATCATGTCGCTGGGTAAGTCTGAACCTACTGTCACTACTGGAACTGAACTGCAATGCTGCTTTCGTGCCTATCGTGACCTGCGCCGTTTGCTTTCATTCCACAATGAGCTTGTCAGACACCGCTTCAAGCTCCAGCCAGCTAACTCAACATGCAATCGCAGACGAAGAAAGCCTCGAGACAGTCGCCAATGGCGGCACGATGGACTAGTATGTCAACTCGCGCCCCAACCAAGCATCAACAGTACAATCGGAGCTGACATGCCCCGTTTCCTCCAGTGAGAAATGGCCCAGCATGGTCGAACCCCTGCTTGAACGATTGGAATATGTGCGCAACCCCCTACTACCCACCAAACCAATCAACAACTAATGAGCCTTGCATCCAGATCATATACAGCGTCTTCCCAATGCCGCGGATCCCCCCCGACCTTCAACAGCAGTCTGCCAATCCCACCGTCCCCACAACCACGCCATCTACAACCCTCCAAACCTCCACCCAGCCCGAACCATCATCGCAGCAATCCACCACAACTGAGCGTATCCCCGACTCCCAACCCCAGTCCTCGCAGGGCTCCTCTCTCCCCGAACCCCTCCAACACCACCTAAACTCCATCAAATCCACCTTGCGATCCCTCTTCGCCTCAAAACCACCACACACTATCCAACGTCTCGCAGAACTCATCGTTCGTCCTACGGCCCACTACCGCACTCTTCCCGCATACCTTCGCGCCGTCGACCGCGTCGTCTGCGTCACTAGCAGCGCGGAAATCTTCCCTCTCCACTCGACACACCATGGCGCTGCTCCCCAGCCCAACGGCGCGATCATCAACGGCGCCGATACCGGCCTCCTATTCCCGGACCATACACTCGGCAGCGATGAGTCTCTAGGCGGAGCACTTCTCACGCCGATCCCGTGGTTGAGTAATGATCCCTCGTCGCCGGAGCATGAGAGTGAAAGCGGTGCGCTTATGGGGGATACTGGGTTCACTACCCAGGTAGTGGAGAGCACTGTCACTGAGCAAGGACATCAGCAGCTGGGATCTGTTACTACTACCGAGACGGCGACGGTAGTGACGGCGGACACAAATGGAAATGAAGGCACGAGTGAAGCTCCGTCGGCTGAGACATTGGAGGATATTCCGCATGCCAGAGGTCCCTCTGTAGTCGGAGTGGAAGATCTAGGGTTACAGGATGGTAGGGGCGTGGAGATGGATCTCTCGAGTGGAGGGGAGGAGGCGCCAGGACTGCAGGCTGCAGGACAGGAGACTTCCCAGCCGCAGCCGCAGCAGGAGGAGCAAGAGCAAGGACAGCAGCAACAAGAACAGCAGCAGACTACTAGTCAGGATGGAGAAGAAGGTGGTGCTAAGCCGACAGCAGATGGAGATGGAGATATTTCTCTAGACGATGCCAAAGCACCGGAGGAGAACGCTTCAGTATCTGAGACGGCGGATAAAGAGCAGCAGCAGCAGCAACAGCAACAGCAGGCGTAGCTTTTGGGACGTCGTATGATATGATATTCATAATCTATTAGCGTGTCGTGCGTTGTCTTGTCGCGCAGTACATTTCTTTTTTGGGACTCTGCCTGCTAGCTAGCTTACATTGTTAAATCATGAATGATGACTAGACTTTGACTGTAGTTGTCATGAACCTGCCATGCTTCCTTGGCGTTATTGATCAGTTACTTACTACTACTTAGTATAACTTACAGCGAGTATGCTTGTATGACTACTGCTAAAGCGTGAATGTAATATTTATATCCAAACTTGATCCGATTGAGTTTCATATACTGTGTATGTAGCACATTCGTAACGACAGCACATCACAATCCATCATGAACACAAAATCCAGTCAACAGATATAGTAGATAGATAGCATGCATATATTCATCATTAGGAGGTCATAACATCCTTGAAACACCAATCATGCAATAGAGATATCGATATATAATAACTCCAACAGATAGATTATTCATTATCAAAACCCGAAAAAGAAAAAGAAAATAGAAAAAGATCAAACCGGCGGCTCGACCGTCTGAAGAGGAACATAGAGCCCCTCATCAGCATTTGAGCCTCTCCTCTTTCTACCCGTCACGGCTGACCAAGTATCAGAGACGAATTCCCGGACCCAGGAGGACGAGGACGAGCGTCTGTGGGAACTGGATCCGGTTACTGATAGCGTGGCTCCCCACCAGCTCTTCTTGGAGGCGTTGAAGCTGCCGTTGGATGATGAATCGATCTCCTTTTGTAGCTTTTCGGCATCCATCCAGCCTGGTCTCCGCCAGAATTTGAGGAGAAGGCTGCTCACCACGACGGAGACGCTGGATAGAGCCATTGCGGCGCCGGCGGCCATCGGGGGTAGCATGAATCCGAATGGGAGGAAGAGACCCATTGCGAAGGGGAGACCGATGACGTTGTAGAGGCAGGCCCACATGAGGTTGAGTTTGATGCGGTTGAAGACTGAGCGGGAAAGGGAGAGGCTTGCGGGTACAGAGAGGAGGTCGTCGGGTCGCATGAGGACGATGTCTGCTGCTTCGACGGCCACGTCGGTGCCTGAGGCGAGGGCGATACCTACGGATGCGGTGGCCAGGGCGGGAGAGTCGTTGATGCCGTCGCCGACCATGGCGACGCGGTCGCCTGAGTCTTGCATCGAGGCGACGATGGATTGTTTGTCGGAGGGAGAGACAGAGGCGTGGACCGCCTCTGTTGGGATCCCCACTGCAGAGGCGATTGAGATGGCGGTGGCGTAGGCATCACCGGTGATAAGGGAGGTTGTGATTCCCATACGGTGGAGGGCGGCGACGGCTGCTGGTGCGGTCACCTTCACGGTGTCCCGGAGCAAGATGGACCCTGCGTATTGGCCATCGATGGCGACGTGGATTTGGGTGATACCGGCAGGAACCTTGGACTTGGGGGTGATGTCGGAGTCGTCTGGTTCAGCTGTTTCAGGGACGGGGACGTCCCTTGATCGCAGGAAAGCAAGGTTTCCGACCAGGACACGGTACCGGGTGCGCTCTGCACTGGACGTGGGCTCGACCAAGGCGGAAATTCCCTTGCCGACGCAAGCTTCGAGGTCGCCCAAGCTGCCGGGCAGGCCATCTCCTGGATGGCCGGATTCAGACTGAGCAGCGGAGAAGATGGCCCTGCCAATGGGGTGTTCGCTGCTCATTTCTGCAAGACCGACGATCAACCACCAGAGTCTGCGGCGCCAGTCGTTAGATGACCAATGTGACTCAATCTTGGCTTCAGCAACACTCATTTTGCCGGTGGTCAATGTTCCAGTCTTATCAAACACGACGTGGTTGATCTTGGTAGCAGCTTCGAGGACAGCGCCACCCTTGACAAGGATACCCTGCTGCGCACCCACTCCAGTGCCGACCATGACAGCTGTAGGAGTGCTGAGACCGAGAGCACAGGGGCAGGCAAAGACAATAACCGAGATGCAAAGCTTGAGACAGACCATAAACTTGCCTCCGTTGTTTTCAGACAAGAAGATCTTCGGAGGGTGAGGTAGGATATGGCTCATGAACATCCAGCCGAAGAATGTGACAAGACCAAGACTGATGATAGCTGGAACGAAGTAGCCCGCAACAACATCAGCCATTCTTTGGATCGGAGCCCGGCTAGTTTGAGCATCCTGAACCAACTTGACAATCTGGCTCAGCTGAGTGTCCTTGCCAGCTCGAGTAACCTTGAAGTCCATGGAGCTAGTGCCGTTGACCGTGCCAGCGATGACAACACTGCCCTTGGCCTTGTGGATTGGCAAAGCTTCACCAGTAATCATACTCTCATCGACATAGCTTTCACCGCGAATGACAACGCCATCAGCCGGTACTTTGTCACCAGGGTGTAGGAGCACAACATCCCCTAGCTCGATGAGCTCCGTTGGGATTATCTGGTGCCCTGGCCCTGCGCGCTCCTCGGTGGCCGAGGATGTGTGCTCCTTGGGCTTTTCGTCAGGATTTCCCCATTCCTCGGCGAGCTTCTCCGCCGCTATCGGGTCGTCGTAAATAGTAGTCATTGACGGTGCAAGGGACATGAGCCGGGAGAGAGCGGCAGAGGTCTGGCCCTTGGCCCGATTCTCCAGCCATCTTCCGAGAGTAATAAAGGTTATAAGCATCGTGCTGGTATCGAAGACCGTACTTGGGCGAATATCGTTCATCGAAAGCAATGAAACAACCATGGTAAACACACTGTAGAAGAATGCCGCAGAGGTACCAAGCATAACGAGAACGTCCATGGTTGGTGAGCGATGTTTCAAGGATTTGTAACTGGCTACGTAGAACCGCTTTCCAATGCCAAATTGCACCGGAATAGTGAGCAGAAGACAGGCAACATCACCAAGGTAGAGACCGGAACATAGTCTAACACGGCCGAAATCAAGGACCGGAAGATACATCGGCAGTAGCATATTGATCAGGAACACGGGGACTGCGAATGAAGCAGAGAATAGGAATGAGCGCTTCCATTCCCGGACCTCCTTTGTCTTGGACAGCGATTCCAGCTGCGCATTGGTATCATCGGACTGCGACAGGAGGGCATTGTATCCGGCCTTTTCGATCGCTTCGACGATCGAACGAATACCAATCTTGGAGGACTCGTATGACAATGTGATTTGAGAGTTGGCCATATTTACAGACGCTGACGAGATCCCGGGGTTCTGATGTAGTGTTTCTTCCAAGGCCGAGGCCGAGGCAGCGTCGCGCAAGCCGTGGAGGCTGAGAGTGACACGGCCGAGGCCTTTGGATGTAGGTGCCTGTGCTTCCGTTGAAAGGACGGTAGTGTCGAAACCGGCATCGTCGATTATGCTGACAATTTGTTTCGTGGTAAGGGTCGTAGGATCGTGAGTGATAATCGCACGCTCGGCTAGCAAGCTGATATTGAATTGCACTACACCGTCCACCCCGCTGAAGGCATTCTGTATACTCGACGTACAAGCACCACACGTCATACCATCTATAGACACCTTCGTGACCATCAACCCCGATGCAGAGCCCGACAAATCCTCCGAGGTGCGGACAGCGCTCTCCTCCGTTGCGGTTTCCAGCACCTTTGCGCCAAACCCACGGTCCTCGATAATCTCTGCAATCTGGTCGGGCGTAATGAGAGATGGATCATGCTCCACGACAGCTCGTTCGGAAAGCAGAGATACATTGACTGAATGCACACCAGGTGTATCCTTCAATCCTCCCTCCACCGCGGAGGTGCAAGCACCGCATGTCATGCCCTCGACGGCCAACGTCGTGGTTGACAGCTGAAACACTTTATCCCTGGCCCCGCGGGAACCATCCGCCGGCATAGACGCACTATCCGTAGAGACGATCGTTGCATCGAAGCCGCAGTCCTCAATAATTTCGGCGACTTTCTCCGCAGGAAGCAGGGTTGGGTCATGATGGACTACAGCCCGGCCCATCATCAAGCTGACGGTTACCTCGCCAGCACCCTCCACCCCCTTGAAGGCGCCCTCGACGGCGGAGGTGCAAGCGCCGCATGTCATTCCCTCGACATTGACTGTTGTGGTCGCCATATGGGCTGCTGATCGGTCGGAAGGAGCGCCATCGGTGCCGGCGCTTAACAGAGCGGAGGATGAGGCCGCCATGTTGCGCCGAGTTGCTGCAGAAGCCGGACAAGGACGGTAGGGACGCGCGGTGGTGTGTTAATGCATGCGTTCGTTTGGGAGGAAGAGGGGGGACGAGGAGGTCGGGGGAGATAATAAAAGGAAGGGAGGGGAAAGGAATAATAAGCAGGAAAATGCTAGTAACACGCAAGGGTCGTTCGATTTAGAGACATTCGGACCGGATGCGACGGAAAGGATACGCCGAGCCTTTTAAACATGCAGCAATTAATTACATCAAGGACACTAAGACAAGAACTACTTACTTACTTTCACTACGGATGGTACGGGAGCTGAAATGGGGGTTTTTGCACGGGAAGAAACCTAATCTTAGGCCACCCACAAAGAGCGTGGGATGGGAAAGAAAGAATGGTAAACAGCAGGTAAAACCAAGAGGTCCAAGACATTCCAGGCGGCGGGAATCCCATTCAACCACGGACTAAGATTAGATCGAGTCTGGAGGAATGATGCCAGGCGCATCCCAACCCACCGCAACGATGGCGCTAACAGAAAAATACGCAGTGGATGGCGTCAGGTTGTCTCCGCCGCCCCGCGGACTTACGTGAGTATTTCTTCTCCAAATCGGGCAACATTGCCGCTTCAGGGCATTTAGAAGGCTGGGACCACTTACTTACCCTCGGGGGACCACTCGTAGTATACTTACTGTAGTCGAAGCCTAGTAGGTATTGTACTCAGTACCGTGTTCATGGTTCACCTTTCGGATGAATTTTTCGGGATGTGCGAGTCAAACCTACTATGCAGTAATATTGTCAATAAGATCGCATAGTATCAGCTGAGCTGTCCGATCCAGCTCAATAAGCCACCCACGCATGCGCTAGCACTTATCTATCTGGCCTGTACTACCCATCTAACGGTTGCT